GGAAAGGAAAAAAACCTCTAACATGACACATTTAGACAGGAATTGTGGTCTGATGGTCTCTTTCTTGAAAACATGCTCCAACTGAACTCATGTCTAATAAGTTTACAGCATCCATTAAACTGTGCCTTGTTTGAGCAGTACAGCATACAGCAATTATGTTTTATAGAGCATGACACATTGGACTCAGCAATTTGACCTATTTTTCTCCATAGACTTTTATGCAAGGCACTACACAATTATTCGTTGCTAACGACCTTTGTGGAATTCAAGGATTACATTTTTATTTCTAATTTATATAATAAAAAGTCAGCTTAATAAAGTCAAATGCAAGTTGTCAGTTTTGTGTTCTAGATCTTGCAGCAAGTTTCAATATTGGGAAAGACATGCTGAGAACTGCACCCGAAGATGCAACGATGAACAAATTACAGAAAACAGGTGCATAGAAAGGCTTTTTTAATAGTATAAAGTCTCATATCTTTTGACTGTATTATTATTATTATTATGCAGTATTTATATAGCGCCAAAAGGTTTGCTCAGCACTGTACAATAGCGAGGGGGACAGAACATGAGACAATACAGTAACAATACAATACACGAGGGGTTCGAGGGCTCTGCTCTTTCGAGCTTACAATCTAGGAGGGAGGACTGTATGCAGGTAAGTAACTTTAATATTTTTGTTATTTATTTTGGGATCTTTTGTTCCCAGGATTTTTTTAAATCCCCCTCCCCAGTTTTCAAAATATATTTTGTTTTATTTTGCATCACACAGTTTCTCCATGCTCCATCTCTGGCCTTTGCTTCTTCTGTCTCTACCTAGGTAGAGACTTCTACCTCTTTCTAGGTGAAATGATGTCCAGCATCATTGAACCCCTTCCTGTGAGCCAAGGCTGTCATGGACACACCCCTTTCCACATCCCATCATGCCAGCCTGGGTTCACAATACTGCAATACTGAACTGCACACACATGTCAATGTGAATTCCATTATGTAATGCAGTAAAGACCACCCACTGTTGGGTAAAAAGAAGAAGGACTCAAAGGTCACCAGACTGGCAAGAAAACAGCTAGAATCAAGGTTTTTATTTAGGGAGTTAAAAAAAAGTATGGGGGAGGAGGTTCGAGGGGGAGTGGGTAGAACTGTGGGACCAGGGGTTGGTGATATCCTTTAAGATAATCAGTTCAAGTCATCTGCTTTTTGAACAGTACCAGATGTTGGTTGTATCTAACCTGTACCCTTAACCTCTTGCCGACCGCGCATAGCCGAATGACGGCTTCACCGCGGCCGGCCAGTTCTGATGGACGTCATATGACGTCCTCCCAGAACGCGCTCTCCTGCGCGCCCCAGGGGGCGCGCACCCCGGCGATCTCCGTGATCGCTGTGTCCTACGGACACAGCTGATCACGTGATGTGGTGAAAGGCCGATCCCACCGGCCTTTTACCACGTGATCAGCGGTGTCCAATGACACGCTGATCACAGGGAAAATGCAAGTGCCGGTTCTCGGCTGCACTTTCCTCACGCTGTCAGATCGTTAGGAAAGTACTGCCGAGAACCAGGAGTTGTCAGAGCGGGGATCGGCACCGATCATCAGGGCACTGATGATTAGTGCCCTGATGATCGGTGCCCACAGTGACACCCGCAAGTTCCGCCCAGCAGTGCGCCCACTAGCCAGCCCAAGCAGTGCCCCCACCTGTGCCCAGCAGTGCCCCCACCTGTGCCCAGCAGTGCACCCACCTGTGCCACTCTGCAGTGCCACCTACCTGTGCCCAGAAGTGCCACCTACATGTGCCCAGCAGTGCCACCCACCTGTGCCCACCCACCTGTGCCCACCAGTGCCACCCATCTGTGCCCATCAGTGCCACCCACCTGTGCCCACCCACCAGTGCTGCCCACCAGTGCCACCCACCAGTGCAGCCCAGCAGTCCAGTCAGTGCCACCAGTCAGTGCCCAGGGGTTGTGCCAGTCAAGTCAGTGCCCAGGAGTGATGCCAGTCAGTGCCGTCTAGGAGTACCCATCATCAGTGTCACCGGGTAGTGCCGCCTATCAGTGCTGCATATCAGTGCCGCCTATCCGTGACCCCTAATTAGTGCTGTCTATCAGTGCCGCCTATCCGTGCCACCTCATTAGTACTGCCTATCAGTGCCCTTTAGTGCTGCCTATCAGTGCCCATCAGTGCCGCCTATCAGTGCCCATCAGTGCCGCCTCATCAACGCAAATCAGTGAAGGAGAAAAAAATACCTGTTTGAAAAATTTTATAAAAGAAACAAATAAACTTTTTTTTTTTTCAAATTTTTTGCACTTTTTTTAATTTATAGCGCAAAAAGTAAAGCGCCCAGTGGCGATTAAATACCCAAAAGAAAGCTCTATTTGTGAGAAAAAAATGATCAAAATTTCATATGGGTACAATGTTGCATGACCGCGCAATTGTCAATCAAAGTGCGGCAGCGCTGGAAAGCTGAAAATTGGCCTGGTAAGGAAGGGGGTATATAGTGCCTGGTAGGCAAGTGGTTAAGAATTGTTTCAATTATTGCCATTTTTCAAATATGTGCAAGCCATAACCTTTTTTTTTATTTCGCTTCTACGTGATTGGATATATAAAGCGAACACAACTTCAACATATTCACTAAACTAAGAAAAGAATCACTTTATAAAGCAAACATTCTCAACTCCTTTAGTAAGTCAGCGCCAGTGAATCACTGGTCCGGAACAAGTATGAAGCCATTGAAGTTTATAATGTCTCATTTTGTGTCCTTTTTAAGTCCAAGTCAGTAACACCAAATTCAGGATGACAGCCCTGGTGTCTGAACCTTCAAAGATCAAGTCAGCTGTGCTCACTCCCTTATTTCTGACCTTATGGCTCTTTAAAGTGAATGTTTCAGTATCTTTACAAATCTGCAGGAAGGCAACCTTGACATATCACAATATACAACAGCCCTCCTCAATGAGGAGGCATCAACAGCAAGGCTCCTACTTTCCATTCATCACACATCTGCACCAGAGGCTGCTCATCAGCTCCCCGAAACGCGCCAGCCATTTGACCGTACTGACAGTGAGAACACCTTGCCTGCCGTTGTGGCCACTGTCATTTTTCTATGCTTTTTAGATACATGCTTCATCTGTGAGTATGTTTTTTTATTATTCTTTCACTCCTTACAATAAACCTTGGATAATGCACTAGGTGTGTGCGCCACCTGTTTTCTCCCTCTCTCTCCTCAATGTTTTTACCCCAGAGGATCCCTTAGAGCTGATTCACATATGCGCGGTGTGGATTGAAGCTCAGGTTTCACAGCTTATTGACACAGTAGTTGTTCAGCAGTTTATATCAGGTTTACATCAGGTTCAGGACAGGATTAGGTCCACACATATGCAGTCTAGAAATGGTTCCCATAGAAGTCAATAGCCTGTAATCCACACCTGAACCCAAAGGCACTGCTCAGAAATCGTACAGGATTCTTTTTCAAACTGCACTGAATCCACACTGAATCCTCACTGAATCCTCACAGTCAGTGCACCAGATATACAGTATGTGAACAGGCATCATAGGAAGCAATGTTTTTTCACATGTTATTCAGATTTCAGTCAGACCTGATCTGCTGATTACAGGAGAGCCAAAAATTAAATTTGCCTTACTAAAAACCTAGCTGGAGGGTGCTACATCTAGCATGTATGCACTTAACATGAAAAAATATATCTGGTGCTAGGCCTACTTTAATTTTTGACCAAAGTGTACCTATAACAACTCTGGTAAGGAATGCTTAGTGATGTATGGGGGTCTACATAAAACTTTGCAAATGTTAAAGTCAGCTTTCCTCGCTCTCTTCATCGATGCGGAATAATGGAAGTTGAATAGGGAGAAGTGCTTCACTAAGAAGAGGTCTTTTTGCCTGTACAAACATCAAATAGATGTGTGTGCCAAGCTAGTGACCCACATGGAAAATGCTTTTTATCCCTTGAAACATTCCTGAATATAAAAGCTTGCACGATACAAGCAGTTCTCCATCAGCGCCTGTTAGAAACCCAGATTACCAGTTGCCAAGGAGCCCGTACATGTGCGCTTGTGTTATCTGTTTCAGCATCTTATTCTACTTAATTGGCAAATAACGATCACTGCCAATAATTCATTAAAAATATTTGGAAGGCCGTTGTGCTTGAAATCTCAGGATGAAAAGAAAAAAGAAAAAGAAAGTAATCTGCTAAATATTCATGCAAAGATATAATTTTATAGGAAATCGATGGTCTGTTTCATTTTTGGAAGGTATGTATGTGAATGGGATCTGATTAAAGTGAACCTGTGCTTTGCCCATGCAAGGCAAAGCAACAGATATTTGTTTATTAACAGATTAACAGATATTTGTTTATACTTATTAAACAGATATGAGAAAACCATCCCGATAGTATGGACCAGTGGTTTCCAAACTGTGGCCATTGGGCTGAATGTGGTCCTTTACCTGCCTTTTTCTGTCCCTTGGGACACTATTACTCCAACTAATAGCAATGATGAGGCACTATTCCTCACACTGACACCAATGATGGGGCACTATTCCTCCCACTGATACCAATGATGGGGCACTATTCCTCCCATTGAAACCAAGGATGGGTATTTTTCCTCCTGCTGACACTAATCCTCCCATTGACAGCAATAATGAGGCATTATTCCTCCCAATGAGACCAATGATAGACACTATTCCTTCCACTGACACCCAAAATGGGGCACCATTCGTCCCACTGATACCAAGGAGGGGGTACTTTTCCTCCTACTGACACCAACGATGGGACACTATTCCTCCAACTGATACCAATGATGGGACACGATTCCTCTCACTCACACCAACAGTAGGGCACTATTCCTCCCACCAATACCATTCCTCCTCCTACTAACCACTAATACTATGTAATTAGCTTACGCCCACTGACAACTAAACCTAAGATATTATTGACCACTTCCGTGCCACCCTATAGCAGAAATACTGCTACAGGGCAGTATGGGTGCACAAAATCACATGATTACTGGCCAGCGCCTGGTGATTTCTGATGATATCCGACGGTGAGGAGAACTGTTTTGTTTACTAACTGTTCTCCCAGTCAGCTCGGGCACACTGCTTTGGATGGCTGTGCACAGCACAGCCATCCAAAGCAGTGTGCTTACAGTGAAGCACACAGACACAGCCCACTAGTAAAACACTCCCAGCACACAGTTAACCCTTTGATCACCCCCCGTTAACCCCTTCCTGCCCAGTGCCATTAGTACAGTGTCAGTGCTTTTTATTAGCACTGATCACTGTATTGGTGTCACTGGGGGTGTCAGTGACACCAAGTCAGTTCCCCCCAGTGTCAGAATGCCTGCCACAGTCCCGCAGTTCTACTGATGGCCGCCATTACTAGTAAAAATGTAAAAAAATTCCAGTATCTATACATTTGTAAACGACAAAACTTTCACGTAAACCAATTAATTTACACATATTGGGATTTTGTTTAGCAAAGACATGGAACAGAATACATTTTGGCCTACATTTATGACAAAATTAGATGTTTTTTTTAAATTCTTTTTTTATAGCGCCAAAAATAAAAAAAAAACACACAGGCAATCAAATACTACCAAAAGAAAGCTCCATTCCTGGGAATAAAAGGACGTAAATTTCATATGGGTGCAGCGTTGCATGACCGCACAGTTGTCTGCGCCGTAACACAAAAAATGGCCTGGTCAGGAAGGGGGGTAAATCCTCAGGAGGGCAAGTGATTAACTGTCACTGACGCTGGGGCATTTTCTATTCCCACTGTACACAGTCCGCCCCCCCTAAAGTCTGAAGAACAGTAATTTGGCCCTTTGCTTAGAAAGTTTGGAGACCCCCTGGTCTAAACCAAAAGAAAAAAAATGAGGGAAGTTCATTGTTGGGGTTTACAGTATACTTTAACTAGTATTGCCAAGTATGCAAAGACTGCCAAATTGCATGTAGACATTGCTGGACTTGCTTACTGGAAAGTCCAGCATTCTTAGTAAACAGAGTGCCGTTGAAGCCCTGTCATTTTTTTTTTCTTTTTTCGGAGCAAACATTTTATGCAAATAAGCTTGCAAGACCTAAAACACCTGTTTATACATTTATAAGCTTCAGACAACAAAAAAACAGGAAATTGACAAAAACCGGATTATTAAGACAAAAAGAATTGTGTAAAGCAAAATAAATGAAAGTGGCAAAACTCAAGTCATCATACTAAACCTGTATGTACACTCTAACAAATAACTCAAGGACCTGTTACCACCACTTAATTAAATGTGTATTTCCAAGATAAAAATCCTAATTTATTGGTTTAAATAAACTTTTTCATTTAAAAACCTACTTTCATGAGTTGTGTTGAAATGATACTGTTGGAAATTACATCAACTTAATATTGTGTGTCATGTACAGTTACATTTCTGCATTCATTGTTGTACAATGAAATTTAAGTTAAGGTACCTTAATAAATTTGACTTGGTAACATAATTTTGCTCTACATTGAGAGCTGCATTGAAAGTCTCCACCCCCATTCACTTAACACAAATCAAGTCTCAGTTGTTTCAAAAACTGTTCCTTGAACTTGATGGACTGAAAGCCAGTGCTAAAGTAATGGGTCTCAAGTACAGTATTCTCTGAAGAACGTATGTGTTCCATAGCACAGTCATACTCAGATGACATTTTTCACTTTTATTTCAGTTCACAAAATGGTTGTCGCAGGGTAATGCGGAAAGAATATAGCAAATTGTAAGAAAGCTCACAAAATATCAACTTTCAATATCCTCCAATAGCTTCACTATATTGCCACAATTTGTTGCACAATATAGCAAAGGTCTTGTAGAGAAACAGTTTCTGCACCAGACAGACAATATTAAAAAAAATCTTAATGCAAAGTGCTTACTCATTCATCAGTACAACTTTAAGGATTTGATTTTGGTGTGCAAAAAATGTCAATTGTTTAACAATTGGATTGTTGGGCCTTGGTTCACACAATGAAGTGCATGTGAATCACAAAGGAACTGCAACACATTCCTGTGCAATTCACATGTGGTTCAGTGTAATGCAATTTGATCCCATTCATTTTGAATGAGCTCAAATCACACCACATCGCACCAAAGACATGCATGCACCAATTTTTGAACCACAGTGCAACCAGATTGCATGTTTTGTTTTGTACCATGCAATCTGGTGCCGACAAATGCACTGTGTTTTGCAACACTGACATCCACTGCAGACTGCAAGGGTAGTGCGATTTGAATGCGGTGCGCGAAATGCACACAGATTGCGGGGTTTCTGCAACACATTCTAGTGTAAGCCTAAACTGATTAATTCATTTTTGAAAGCTAGTATAAAAAAAACAAAGCTAAAAACTAATACATAAAAATCAATTTGGATCAACTTGATTTTTAACTGCTTTTTAACTTTAAAAAACTTGCTCATAATTGTAGCAATTAAGTACACGTGACTTGAAGGTTTCTTATAAAAACTGGAAAAACTATTTGAATTAACTTAATATGTTTAAGTACTCAACTTAAAAACATGTGTTTATAATGCCAGTAATTAAGTTGGCGGTAAATAAAAATGCATTCATTTCTATCAGAAAAGCTAATTACCTCAATGCAATGTAGTTTGTTGCTTCAACTTAATTTCACCAGACATTGTCATAACTTAAAAAGCTTGATGCAAACTGTTGCGTTAATTTTTTTTGTTGAGCCAAAACATTATTTTTTAGAGTGTAACATTAGAAGTAAAATTGCTGTTATATATAATGGATCTGTAGACCGAGATGGATCTGGAGACACTTTAGTTGAATGTCGACTTCACATTGTACATTATTTATTATTATTATTATTATTATTATTATTCATAATAATAATAATAATAATAATAATAACAATATTAAAAATACTTGCATTCATTTTATTATTGTTATTATTTGTATTGATTGTATTAATTGTATTATTATTATTGTTGTTATTATTATTATGAACAATATTAATACTGTAATACTTGTATTCATTTTATTCTTTTTATTATTTGTATTGATTGTATTAATTATTATTATTATTATTAATATGATCATCACAAAAACAGTAGCTATTGACTATACAGCCCTGTGATTTTCTTGGTCTGCACATGTTGTGAAAGAGGTCTTTAGTTATTAGACGTGCTACCGGACATGTCGCTCCATTTTTGTGAAGGCGTTTGAGAAAAACCCAAAGATCAACCTCAGACGCTCTTGTTGGAGAGGTTGATGGAAATGTTGGGGGTTGTCGCAGATGTGAAATTACTGATCACAAAGCTTAGCTGAAAGCCACAAAAAATAGGACAAAATGTCCCATTTATGCACAGTACGCTTCAAGAGCTATGCATCTATTTCTGCCAGGCATCCAGTAAGATAAAAGTAAAAACACTGTCTTGTATTTACTGCATTAGTTAAAGCTGGCCTTTTTTTTACCTTTTTCACATACTACATTCTAAAAATACATTGCTTAATATAGCATTTAATGCTATAAATCTAAAAGAAATAGAATTTCCATGAAGTCGGCACAAGAATAAAAAAAGGTTTCTGACGAAATCTTTAAACAAAAACTTCATTTACAAAAAAGTTCTTATGACCTACTATAAAATCCTGACCTACTATAAAATCCCTGGTCTTTAGCAGGGGCCCAAACTCATGGGGCCCAAACTCAAAAAAGCCTATGAAAAAGGTACCAAGGGCATCTCATGGGCCCCCTACTGACCCCAGGGCCCTCGAGCAGTGCCCGAGTTTCCAAATAGTCAGTCCACCCCTGGTCCTTAATTAATGTATATCTAAGGCCAAAGCTGTTCTTTTAATTTTGGATAAAGTGGTGGAGAGTTAGGATCTTTGTCTGGTTTTTAATGCTGTCTGTTTCAACGCAAGGAAAATTTCCTCTCTATTTTCCATGGTGATCATCGCCACTAGGACTGAACGTGAGGGAAAATCCAAAATTTATTTTGTCACCCAGTGGTGTACTTAGGTAGGTGCAGAAGATGCAATCTGCACCAGGTGCCTATTTGCTGGGGGTGCTGCTGCCGCCTGACATTTTTTTTTGGTGTGCTGCATTGTATTTTACATTTTACCTCACTCTGTTAAACATTTCATACTCCAGACTACTGCACTCTCGCTGAGCTGAATATGACATACTCCTGACCAGTGCACTGTAAGTACATTACAGCTGATATCATTGGTTCAGATAATTTTTGAGGGGATGTTAAAAAATTATCGCCCCTAGGTACCAGATATTCTAGGTATGCTTCTGTTGTCACCAGAAAAGGAAAAGAGGGGAAACTTCCAATGTGGGCACTTGTTCTGGTGGCAATGATCTAAGAGTAGACTTCTATCACTTTTTAGAGCGTGCCACATGCTCCATCATTTTGGATGCTGATTTTTAATCCTAACATTGTTCCTGAGGAAGGAGCAGAGTCTCCTCTGTGAAACATGTTGAATAAAGGTGTATTATATGAGATTTGGTGGTCTCTGATTCCTCAGTCAATATACTATCTACAACCACCAAACTCAAGTCAAGCGAGCACCGGTCGGTACACCAGAGGGGCAGTGGGATCCCGGTATAGCAATGTAATCTCCAAATACTCAGAACACTCTTGGCTGAAACTAGTAGTGCAGACAGGAGACCAGGAAACAGGACTAGCATCACGGTGGTGCGTTACAAATGCCTGGATGCTGTCTCACGCATAAGAGCAGTGACGGTCAACGCATCAAGTGAGGAGATTTCAAATTTTAGGTCGGCAATAGATGGATTGATTCTTGGCCAATTCAGCAGGGACTGGCTGAGATTAGATCCATCTATGGGCAGGCTGACTGTACCCATCGATTGACTTGGGTACAACCAGCCTGTCTCAATTTTAGCATGCAACTACTTCCTGCGGCTATAACATTTTGTTCTGCTGGCTGGGAAAGATAGAAGGTAGAAGCACACTCCATATCTAAAGTTTTAGATCAGTTTGGAGAGATTTCCTCTCTATTCCCAGTGTTTATGGAACTAGAAGTGATTGGAAGTCTCCCAAATGGGACACAAAATGAGACAAAATATGTGATGGGATTTAAACCCTTTCTGACAGCATCTAAGATGAAAAAAAAAAATTGACTCAAAATGCACTTTAACCACTTTAGCTCCAGAGGATTTACCCCCCTTAA